GGCAGGAGTGAAGGGGAGGGAGCCCTGAGGTGAGGGGTCCGTTGCGGGGGGGTTGGAGGTAATCAGAGGGGGCTGGGAAAGGGGCATCGTATGGGGACAGAGGGGATTTGGGGTGACTCTCTGAAGGTTATGGGGGGACTGGGTGGGAAAGGATCCCTGAGGCAAAGTGGGGGCTTCTCTGGGGGCTGAGAGGGGCCATGGGAGGTCTGCAGGTGCAGGGGCTGTAGGCACCTGGGGGAGCCGACCACGGGGGCGAAGCGGGGGAGCCAACCACGGGGGCGAAGCGAGGAGCTGGGGTATGTGTCTGGGGGGGGCTGGGGGATGTCACCTGGGGCCAGGAGAGGGGCTGAGAGAGGGCAACATTCCTCCTCCCGCTGCAGGTGTTCACCGCCAGGTCCTGTTCACGACCGTGGGGTGGTTTGTTGGGTATTTCCTCACGAAACGTGCGGAGTACGTACACGCCAAACTGGACAGGGAGCTGTTTGAGTACATCCGGCAGCACCCAGAAGACTTCAAAGCAACAGGTATAAAAACTTGGTATTTTAAAAAGTTCTCAGCCTGAAATAATGCACAGATTAGTAAGTGCTAATGTATATAAAGATGTTGCAGGGCTGGTTGCAGAATCCGTTCTTTTCTGGCAAGTCGGCTAACTCTTTCCTGCGTATTAACAATCTGTTGCAGCAGTATTAAGGATTTTATGATATGAAAATAGATAATTTGCATTAGCCGTTTCTATTCTAATAGAATCATAGAATGGTTAAGAGTTGGAAGGGACCTTAAAGATCATGGAGTTCCAACCCCCTGTCATGGACAGGGACACCTCCCACCAGACCAGGTTGCTCAAAGCCCCATCCAACCTGGCCTTGAACACCTCCAGGGATGGGGCAGCCACAGCTTCTCTGGGCAACTTGGGCTGCATCAAGAGAAGAGTGGCCAGCAGGTCGTGGGAGGTGATTCCACCCCTCTACACTGCACTCGTGAGACCCCACCTGGAGTACTGTGTCCAGCTCTGGAGTCCTCAACACCGGAAGGACATGGATCTGATGTAACAGGTACAGTGGAGGGCCAGGAAGATGATCAGAGGTCTGGAGCACCTCTGCTGTGAGGACAGGCTGAGAGAGCTGGGGTTGTTCAGCCGGGGGAGACCTTAGAGCAGCCTTCCAAGAGCTGAAGGGAGCTACAGGAGAGATGGGGAGGGACTCTGTCAGGAAGGGTAGTGACAGGACAAGGGGTAATGGTTTCAAATTGGAAGAGGAGAGATTTAGATGAGATCTCAGGAAGACATTCTTTCCTGTGAGGGTGGTGAGGCACTGGCCCAGGTTGTCCAGAGAAGCTGTGGCTGCCCCATCCCTGGAGGTGTTCAAGGCCAGGTTGGATGGGGCTTGGAACAACCTGGTCTGGTGGGAGGTGTCCCTGCCCAGGGCAGGGGGTTGGAACTGAATGATCTTGAAGGTCCCTTCCAACCCAAACCATTCTATGATTTTCCGCCCAACCTGTATTTGTGCCTGGGATTGCCATGTCCCAGGTGCAGGACCCTGCACTTCTTGGTTGAACTTCATGAAGTTAATAGCTCTGTCAGCTGCCTTGATGACCAGCTCTTCCTCCTAAAAGCTTGGTTTAATATAAAAATGCCAGAGGCCAAAAAAAATAAAAAATAGACCAAACTTGTGCCACTGAAGGAGAAATAAAGAAAATAATGAAAAGTAGAAATCACAGGTTTTATTCTTGTAAAATCACAGTTGTAGTGTTTATTCTTGTAAAATTGCAGTGTGTGTTGATTCAGAAAATAAATGGAGCATGTGAAAAAAGAATAAATAGAAAAGTCAGGAAACCTGAAGCGCTGTTGGCCCTTGCTGGCCTAGAACCTGGTGAAAAACAGCGTTTTCTTAAATGTAGGCACTAAGCCCAGCGATGTGATGGCAGATTTTGGTGAAAATTGGCTTCTTTTCTGATAAAATCCAGTTATTAAGTGCTGATTAGCTTTCCCCCCCTCCACCCCCCCTTGCCTCTTGTAGAAAAGAGAAGAATTGGAGAACTTATGGAAGATTTCTACCCGGTTCGCTGAGGATTCCTCCTGGCGGCGACGTGTCACAAGGATGCGTGTGCTGAGCTGATTCCACAGCAAGAGCTTCTGTTCAACCGTCCACGGCCTGGGACATGGACCGTTCCTCGCTTTCACCTAATAAAAGCTATGATTAAATACTAAAATGTTTAATTACTTGTTCTTCTGTTCCTTGATGTAAACACGACTGAAGTGTAGGGTGCTGAACCTGCGGAGAAATAGCCCCCTGCACCGGTACAGGTTGGGGCTGACCTGCTGGAGAGCAGCTCTGAGGAGAAAGACCTGGGAGTCCTGGTGGACAACAGGATGACCATGAGCCAGCAATGGGCCTTTGTGGCCAAGAAGGCCAATGGCATCCTGGGGGGCATCAGGAAGAGTGTGAGCAGCAGGTGGAGGGAGGTCCTCCTGCCCCTCTGCTCTGCCCTGGGGAGGCCCCATCTGGAGCACTGGGACCAGTTCTGGGCTCCCCAGTCCCAGAAGGACAGGGAACTGCTGGAGAGGGTACAGCAGAGGACTACAAAGATGATGAGGGGCCTGGAGCATCTCTCTGATGAGGAAAGGCTGAGGGACTTGGGGCTTTTTAGTCTGGAGAAGAGAAGGCTGAGGGGGGATCTGATCAACACCTATAAATACTTAAAGGGAGGGTGTCAAGAGGATGGGACCAGTCTTTTTTCAGTGGTGCCCAGGGACAGGACAAGAGGAAATGGGCACAAACTTGAACATAAGAAGTTCCACCTAAACATGAGGAGGAACGTCTTTACTTTGAAGGTGGCAGGGCCCTGGAAGAGGCTGCCCAGAGAGGTGGTGGAGTCTCCTTCTCTGGAGACATTCAAACCCAGCCTGGCCACGTTCCTGTGCAACCTGCTCTGAGTGGACACACTTTGGCCGGGGGTTGGACTAGATGATCTCCAGAGGTCCCTTCCAACCCCATAGCATTCTGTGATCCCCTCCCTCCACCTCCTCCCGGGAGGCTGGTGGCCGTCTGTGTCCTGAGGCCACCTTGATGGCTCACAGCCAACTTGGCCCACCAGGGAGCCAGACGTTGGGGGTGGCCGTGGGTGTGAATTTGTGGGGTGCTTCCCCCTGGCACCCGCAGGAGAAGCCAGAGCCAGAGTTTCTTATTTATTTATTTACTTATTTATGTTATTTATTTAACATTTTGGTGCCCCCGGAGCCCTTCCAGGGCATCATGGAGCCAGCATCCCCCTGCCACGCCTGGGAGGGCCCGATCTGCCCCCTCCCGGGGACGGCACTGGGTATTTCAAGGACAAAGACCTTTTCTGTGGCCACCTCGTGTCTCTTATCAGCCACGTCCGACGGCGGTGGCCAGCAGCAGGGCACCGTCAGGGCTTGACGCATCCCCGGGGGCAGCGTGATGCAACGCCCTGCAATCGGAGCAGGAAGGGATGTTCAGGTCCTGGGGGATTGCAAGTGGGGCCCAAATGTCGTCAGCACGTTCTTCCAGCTGTCCCACGTCACAGACCTTTCCTGGGAACATCTTATGTCCCTCATCAGTCACGTTCAGCAGTGTGGGGAGTGATTCCCTGAATGTTCTGCTACGATAGTTCCCCTGGGGCACCACCAGCCTCTCCATCTGCCCAACATATCACACAAGCCAAAAACCATTGACGGAGGTGACCACAGATGTTCCTCACTTTGACCAACCATCTTCTCCATGTGATGCAGTCCTGTCCTTCAGCTCTAACCAGGTAGACTACCAAAGGGACGTCACCTCCTTCACAGTCCTCACCTCACTGGGAAACAACGTCCCTCCGTTCCTCATGGTTCAACAGAGGCAGAGGAGCTCCAAAGGTGGGTTGGAGAACCCATGTCCAACTTCCAGCTCAACTTCTCCCTTGGCCTGTGCCATCACACCCCAATTTGAGGTGGCACCATTGCAGTGGGACAGCTTAAGAGTCTCCCGGTATCCTCCCAGCTTAAGAGTCTCCCGGTATCCTCCTTGTGTTTCTCTGTTGCTGGATAAAACAAAAGGCTGCAACGTTGGCCAGATCTGAGGAGCAACATGGGGCAGATCTGTTCTGAAGTTCCTCACACTGCCTTTGGATAGTTGTGTTTGCCCGTGTTTTGGGGGACATGGTGCTTGACAGCTGCTTTCACAGATGCCATGGTTTCCCTTCCCAGAAACTGAGAGAGATTCAGGGGGCTTTTGGCCTAGAGCTGGAGTCAGCACTGGGTCCCATCTGCCCAAAGCTGGTCTGCACACCATAATACCACCCTGACCTCCACTGAGCAGGGTTGGTGGTGAGCCCCTGGGAAGTGCAAGGAGCTCCCCAGGTCTCTGTGGCTGCAGACCCAGCATTTGGAAAAGCTTCCCCATGGCCTCCTGGGAGGCACATCCTCAGCCACAGCTCAGGAAGGGGGAAAATGCCACCATGGACATGTCCCTGAGTGTCCCACTTCATCCCTGCTCTCAGATTGCCCCATGTCTTTGCCTCCTCTGACACCACCAGGGCTGGCCTTGTCCTTACTCAAACCCATCCACGTCCCTTTCAGGTGTGGGGCAGTGCTGCATCCAGCCCCCACTGCCCCCTCCAGAGCCTCTGTCCCCCCCATCTTCTGGCTACTTGGCCACAGGTGGCTGGGGACCATGTCCCCACAGCCTCCCAACAGGGAGGACAAGCTGAAGCCAATGTGGTCTTTGACAGCCAGAAGAAATGGCCCGAACAGGTAAGAGGAGGTGAGAACCTCCAGTGGAACCCAAACCTGGACACGGGTCTGGGGTACTGGGGGTGGTTGCTTCCCAGAGGGGCTGAGACCTGCAGCTCTGCTGGCCCTCAGGGCTGGTCCCCAGGCTCAGCCCCACTTGGGGCACCTCTGAGGCAGAAACCCTGATGGGCAGGAGAGACACATGGGGAGCTTTGGGGCACAGGGCAGCACCAGCAGCGGTGGGACACCCCTGGGCAGACCTGTGAAGACGATCCTGAACCTGATGGCTGTGTGGTGTGTGGGCTGATGTCTCCCTCCCTCCCTTACGGGTGCACAGCAGCAGGACGCAGTGTCCATCTTGCTGTTGCACGTCTGGGGTGTGCGTTGGCCAGAGTCAGACACTTTGGTGCACAGAAAAGAGGCACCAGTTTTTGCTGGTGTTGCTGTCTATATAAAGAAGAACATTTTTAGAATGAGGGTGGTGAGACAGTGGCCCAGGTTGCCCAGAGAAGTTGTGGATACCCTATGGTTGGACAGGGCCTTGAGCTACCTGATCTAGTGGAAGATGTCCCTGCACACAGCAGGGGATTGGGCCAGATGGTCACTGAAGGTCCCTCCCAACCCAAACCTTCCAACCCACCCAGGGGAAAGCACCACACCAACAATGGCTTCTCAGGGCTCATTTTATTAGCAAAGGGTGGGGAAAACGCCCCTCAGAGTCCAGGTACCAGCTGGAAAAGGGCTTGGTAGTCGCAGGGACCACTGGAGGTCAGAGCCACCGCGCGATGCCACCGCCTTCATGCTGCTCTTTGAAAATAAAGAGGAGGGCACGAGGTGTGGGGCTCTTCCGATGGACCTCCCAGCACGACCAGATGCTTCTTCCTATGAGGATAAGGCACCATCTGGTTCTCGGGTGGTCGCAATCGTCTCTGCTGTGCGGTGCCCACGCTGGGAGATCAGCTGCCGTGGTGTGGGGAGGGTGAGTGGGGCTGGGGAAGAGCCCATGATGGTCAGCGATGGGGACGTCCTCTCCTTCATGCCATCAGCACCCATCCTGCAACGACAGCTGTCCTTAATCCCAAAGGTCATCCCAGGGAGAGACCTGCCCCACCAGCCCCAGGACCCCAGATCCTGAACCCCTGGAGTCTCTGCACGGAGGGACGGGATGAGCCCCCTCCTTCAACATGGAGATGGAGATCTACAGCATTGGAGGGGACAGTCCCCATTTCCAGGCACCTCCCAGGAGCTCCCCACCCCAACACTCTGAGGGACCTCCCCAGGAACATCAGCCACCCCTTCCCCCACTTCTCCTGAGCTCCACGTCCCCCCAGCTGTTACCTGGTGGCTGGGGCAGGGTCACCAGCTGGGCTGGCCCTCGCTGGGGCTGATCTGCTCCAGGATCTGGCTGTACCTCCGTGTGAGGGCATTGGTGTCCCTGGTGAGGTGGGTGAGGACCTGCTGCAAGCCCGCCAGGTGGTGGGACAGGCGCTCCTCCAGCTGGGGATCCATGGTGTCGTTGTCCTCCGAGGAGGTGTTGGTGTCAGCGTCGGTCTGAGTCTGGTCGGTGACCGAGGCCAGCCCTTTCTCCACCATGGGCTTGATGGACTTGAGGAGCTGGTAGCGCTCATAGAGGTCCGTGTGGCCGCCCGTGGCCGGGGCCGCCCCCTCCTGCTGCGGGAAGACCCCTCGGAGCAGGCTGGGGAACATCACCTCCTGCTCCATCTTCTGGGTGGCTGAGAAGTACTGCTCCATGGTGCTGCTCTCAGAGCTCTGGCAGTGCTGCTCTGGGCTCTTCTTGGGGTGCTGTCTGCTCCCCGTCCCCACCGAGGGCTTTTTATGTGTGTCCGGGGCACGTCCCTCCTCTGCTGTCCTCTCCTGCCAGCCCTGGGCCAGGCTGGACGGCCATGGGGCCGGGTTTGGCTCCAGCCCAGCTGGGACTTGGCCACGCTGTGTCCCAGGCTCTGTGCAATCTGTCCTGGCCCGGCCTCCCCGTGGCCTTCACCCGAGCTGGACTGGGGGGTCCCACTGTGTCCCCCCCACCATGAGCAGGGCAGCAGGAAGAAGATGTGCCTGGGTCTTCTCCCAACCCATCCCATGTGTCCCAGCACAACCACTTCTGGGGCACTGGGAGAGCTGGGCCAGCTCCTGCCCCCCACGGTGCAGACAGCAGTGCTCTTGGGGGGCATCAACTCTCCCCCCTCCTTGCTGCCATCTCCTCTGGGGACATTGAGCCACCCCCGGTCTGCAACTGGAGGTGGTTTCAGCCACCGGTGTGGAACATCTCACCGGGGATGGGCTCCCTCCTGGAATCCCATGTGGGATCCTGGGGACATGGGACGGGGACAGCAATGGGACAAAACGCAGTGATGGAAAAGTCCCACAGACATTGCATGGAGCTGTCACTGGCCGTGGTGGAGCATGGAAGATGCCACCACCACCGCACTACCCCCATCCTGGGGCAGAGGCCACGGCTGGGACAACGGCCAGCACTGCCCGTCCCCACGTGTCCAGGCAGCGTGTGGCAATCGGGCAAAATTGTTCTATTTGAGGAAAGGCCACAGGGTCCCTGGTCCCTTTTGCAATCTGTGGTGGTGGCAGCTGTCCCACTCCCCCCTGACATGTCTCAGCCAGGTGCCCACGCTGCTGTCGGGTCCTCCACCTCCCTGACCTGTCCCCTCTGCCCCTCTTGTCCCTTCCACGGTGTCCCCAGCATTTCTGGGTGTCCTGCTGTGTGGCCCAGCACTGTACCGAGGTGGGCAGGTGCTTCCAGCCCTGTGGTCTTGGGGTATCTGGGCCACCACGCAGGTTCCTGGAGGAGCATGGACATCCTAGTGTCCCCCCAGGGGGTGGGCATGGTGGGCTGCATTCACCCTGAGGCTGCAGCTTCACCATGGAGTTCATGGAGGACACGTTGGTCTGCAGCCACTAGTGACACCCTGTTGGGAGACCACCTTTCCCCTGGGGACATGTGGGCAGGTGTCACCCCAGCCAGCCCCTGGGAGGGGGCTCGATGTCATTAATCCCCAGGACATGAATTTCCTCCCCAACCATGTCCTCAGCCCGCCTCCCCGTGGCCTTCACCCGAGCTGGAGTCCCACTGTGTCCCCCCCACCATGAGCAGGGCAGCAGGAAGAGGATGTGCCTGGGTCTTCTCCCAACCCATCCCATGTGTCCCAGCACAACCACTTCTGGGGCACTGGGAGAGCTGGGCCAGCTCCTGCCCCCCACGGTGCAGACAGCAGTGCTCTTGGGGGGCATCACCTCTCCCCCTCCTTGCTGCCATCCCCTCCGGGGACATTGAGCAACCCCCAGTCTGCAACTGGTTGCCTGGAGGTGGTTGCAGCCACCGGTGTGGAACATCTCACCTGGGATGGGCTCCCTCCTGGAATCCCATGTGGGATCCTGGGGACATGGGATGGGGACAGCAATGGGACAAAATGCAGTGATGGAAAAGTCCCACAGCCATTGCATGGAGCTGTCACTGGCTGTGGTGGAGCATGGAAGATGCCACCACCACCGCACCACCCCCATCCTGGGGCAGAGGCCACGGCTGGGACACCGGCCAGCACTGCCCGTCCCCACGTGTCCAGGCAGCGTGTGGCAATCGGGCAAAATTGTTCTATTTGAGGAAAGGCCACAGGGTCCCTGGTCCCTTTTGCAATCTGTGGTGGTGGCAGCTGTCCCACTCCCCCCTGACATGTCTCAGCCAGGTGCCCACGCTGCTGTCGGGTCCTCCACCTCCCTGACCTGTCCCCTCTGCCCCTCTTGTCCCTTCCACGGTGTCCCCAGCATTTCTGGGTGTCCTGCTGTGTGGCCCAGCACTGTACCGAGGTGGGCAGGTGCTTCCAGCCCTGTGGTCTTGGGGTATCTGGGCCACCACGCAGGTTCCTGGAGGAGCATGGACATCCTAGTGTCCCCCCAGGGGGTGGGCATGGTGGGCTGCATTCACCCTGAGGCTGCAGCTTCACCATGGAGTTCATGGAGGACACGTTGGTCTGCAGCCACTAGTGACACCCTGTTGGGAGACGTCCTTCCCCCTGGGGACATGTGGGCAGGTGTCAACCCAGCCAGCCCCTGGGAGGGGGCTCGATGTCATTAATCCCCAGGACATGAATTTCCTCCCCAACCATGTCCTCAGCCCATGGGGACATCTCGGACCCAGCATCTCCAACTGTCCCCGAGCTGCTGTGTCAGGGCCAGGGCCAGCCTGGAGCAGGGCTGTGCACAGCTCCTCGGGGCTGTGGCACCTCGGTCCTGCCACGGGGGGATGTGACAGCAGGGATGACAGACGGACACTTGTGTGGTGGCATTTTGCCCATTTTGAGCCATGGCTGGGGACAGGGTCCCCAAGAGGATGGTGGGTCAGGGAGAAGCTTTCCAAAAGCTTCCACCTGTTGTCCCCCTGTACTGTGCACTGGTGAGGTCCCACCTCGAGGGCTGTGTCCATTTTTGGGCCCCTTCCCACAAAAAAGACATTGAGGTGCTGGAGCGGGTCCAGAGAAGGGCAACAAAGCTGGTGAGGGGTCTGGAGAGTAAGTCTTATGAGGAGAGGCTGAGGGAGCTGGCGTTGAAGTCTGAAGAAGAGGAGGCTGAGGGGAGACCTTATCGCGCTCTATAGCTACCTGAAGAGGGGTGTAGAGAGGTGGGGTTTGGTCTTGTCTCCCAAGTCACAGGAGACAGGACAAGGGGAAATGGCCTCAAGTTGCGCCAGGGGAGGTTTAGATTGGATATTAGGAAACATTTCTTCACGGAAAGGGTTATCCAGCATTGGAATGGGCTGCCCAGGGCAGTGGTTGAGGCACCATCCCTGGAGGTGTTCAAAAGACGGGTTGACATGGTCCTCAGGAATATGGTTTAGTGGTTTGTTCTTTTCTTATTTACTTTTTTGTCAGAGTTAGGTTGATGGTTGGACTAGATGACCTTAAAGATCCCCTCCAACCTAGACGATTCTATGATTCTAAAACACAGCATCTGTGGCAGCAGAGAACCAAAAATCTCATTGCATCTCCTGGGGGCCCTGGTGTCTCTGAGGAACCTCCCCCAGGCTCCCACCCAGGGCTGGGGACCCCGTTTCAGCTCAGCCCGGCCCCAGCCCTACTGCAGCCCCTCTCTCCCTGCTCCTGCCATTGCTGCTGGTGGTGGTGGCTCTCCCCAACCTCTCCCAGTGTGACGTGGGTGGTCTCTTTTTGGCTGATGGGGTTCCTGGAGGCAAAGGGAGGGTTTGAGGGTGATTCATGCCCAAGGATGGGGAGCTGAGGAATGACCTGAGGCTGCAGAGTACCCCATCTGGAGTACTGCGTCCAGCTTTGAGTACTGCGTCCTCAGAAGAAGAAAGACATTGGACCTGTTGGAACAGGTCCAGAGGAGGCCACGAAGATGAGGGGATGGAGCCCCTCTGCTGAGAGGACAGGCTGAGAGAGTTGGAGGAGTTCAGTCTGGAGGAGAGGAGGCTCTGGGGAGACCTTAAAGCCCCTTCCAGTCCCTAAAGGGGCTCCAGGAGAGATGGAGAGTGACTTTTAACACATTCATGTAGTGACAAGATGAGGGGTAATGGCTTCAAACTGGAAGAGGGGAAATTTAGACAAGGTCTCAGGAAGAAATTTTTCACTCTGAGAGTGGTGAGACAGTGGCCCAGGTTGCCCAGAGAAGCTGTGGCTGACCCATCCCTGGAGGGGTTCAAGACCAGGTTGGATGGGGCTTTGAGCAACCTGGTCTGGTGGGAGGTGTCCCTTCCCATGGCAGGGGGGTTGGAACTGGATGATCTTTAATGTCCCTTCCAACCCAAACCATTCTGTGATTCTATGCAGAGCCCCAGGGAGCCCCTGACCCACTGCCCCAGCACTGCATCAGCTCAGGAGGATGATGCCAAAGCCAAAACCAGGGGGCAGGTGGGCAGAGTGACCAGTGTCCCCTTGCAATGTCCCTCCCAGCAGGTCTGCAGTGGTCAAGAACCACAACATGGGCAAGCTCCTGGCTGGTGCCTACACAGGACCAGCAGCACCCACACACCTCAGTTTAGCGCTCAGTCCCACAGCAGGACACCCGAAGATGTGAGGGGCACCCGGGAAGGGACAATAGAAAAGAAGGCTGAGGGGAGACCTTCTTGCTCTCTACAACTCCCTGAAGGAGGGTGTAGCCAGGGGTGGTCGGTCTCTTCTCCCAAGGAACAGGTGATGGGACAAGAGGAAATGGCCTCAAGTTGCACCAGGGGAGGTTTAG